GCCCGCGCCTTCCTCGAGCACTGGGTCGCCCGATTCGGCGTTCCGTCCATCATCACGACGGACCGAGGCGCCCAGTTCGAGTCGGCCCTCTGGTCGGAGCTACAGCGATTCCTGGGCTGCCAGCGAACTCGGACGACGTCCTACCACCCGGCCTGCAACGGTATGGTGGAACGCCTGCATCGCCAGCTGAAGGCCAGCCTCCGTGCACACCAGGCTACGTCATGGACGGACGTGCTGCCGCTGGTGCTCCTGGGCCTCCGCTCCACCATCAAGGCGGACCTGCAGGCGACGTCAGCCGAGCTGGTGTACGGCTCCTCACTGCGGCTTCCCGGCGAGTTCTTCATCAGCAGCCAAGCCTCAGCAGCATCACCGGCCGGTTTCGTACAGGACCTGAAGCGCGCCATGTCTCAGGTGCGGCCGACACTCCCACGTCCGGTCCAGCGCGCCACGTACGTCCCGACGGCACTCCAGACGGCGACACACGTCTTCGTGCGCAGGGACTGTCACCGCTACCCGCTGGACGCTCCATACGACGGACCGTTCCCGGTTACCGAAAGGACCGCCAAAACCATCACCATCGACCGTCGACAGAAAAAGGAGGTCATCAGCATCGACCGGTGTAAGGCCGCCTTCCTGGAGACGCCAGACGAATCCGGTCATCGACAGTCTGACCTGCCGACTGTGCAGCCGCACGGTACTCAGTCCAGCGGCCCGCCGGCCGCGCCACCGCTCAGCAATGAGCCCAGCGGTCCGGAGCTTCTGATCTACGGTGACGCACCAAATCGCCCTGCAGCCGTCGCTCGGGCTGACGCTGCACCATTGCAGCCTCGGCCGATACTACGGACGACCCGCTCCGGCCGCGTCATACGACCTCCGGTAAGATATCGCCATGTCACTTTTGTCCGCGACATGTCTGGCGAGGGGGTACTGTAGGGATCATCTATACGATTTATCATCTATGCGATTTGTCATCTATGCGATTTGTCATTTCATGTTGTCATTTTCATTTATATTGTCACCGCTTTATTAATCAATCTGTTACCTGTTGCCAATTGCACGTCAAGTTTGTTTGTTATTTGTAAACCGGCCTGCCGCTGGCCTCAACCTTCCTAGTAACCGCTGTGCCATACGCTATAGAACGTGTCGTGCAAAGGTCACGGCGGCACCCCTGAGGCGGCCGCTGCCCGTACGTTTAGGAGCCCATTGTCGTGACGTCATGACTGTGAGCAAAGGTCGCGGTAGGGGCTCTCCCGGCAGCCGGACGGTGACTCATACGTTAAGCTTGTCTCTCGCCGCGCCTGCGGGCATATTGGTAGTACTAGGAACGGCCAGCATGTGACCGCGGTTTTCGGCGACATTGTCAATTCGTTTTTCGACTCTGCTGTTCGCTGCAAGACCAATACACATAGAAAACGGCTCGGGCATTTGGAGAAGAGCGGCTACTCTGAGGCGAGGGAAGAACACGGAGATTCACACAAACGACCTGACTAGGTTGCACCGGCCACAGTCGACCGAGGTGGGCTTCTGCGCCCTTAAAGACGCCTCTGACTGGCCATTGCGCTGACACCCTGGTCGGACCACGGTCATTGATCGGACCCTGCCACTGGTTCGTGCTCAGGCTGCCTTAGCGGGTAGACCTGCTCGACCAGACGCCCCACTGGTGGGCGAGTGCTCGGTTCCGACTTTCACCGCCGGTCCAACAGCGTTCTGCTGGTTCCCGCCGATCCGGTTACGACACCGCAAGTGCCGTACCGACTCGGGCGTCCCAGGTGGGCGTAACGGTTACCACACCAGTTCGCGACCCCCAGGCTCTGTCAGCCGTCGTACGGCTCTCGGACGGACACTCTAATAGATCAGCCACAGATCAATAGGTTGTCACGGACCGTCCGTCCAGCCACGCGCTACCCACAGCGCAGTACGACAGTATACCCTTTTTTGTGGCCCGAAGTTGGAACTTTAAATTGAAGCATCCGAAAATGATCGATATTGATCGAAATCATGATGTTGATGAAAAAAATAATATGTTAAGTTGAGAGAGGAGGCCATTTTATCCAGATGCGGTGGTTTACTTCTTGAAATTATTTTTGCTTACGACGACTGCCATGTAATGAGGGATAATTAGCAGCCGTCATTAGCAAAAATAATTTCAAGAAGTAAACTACTGCATCTGGATAAAATGGCCTCCTCTCTCAACTTAAAATATTATTTTTTTCATCAACATCATGTTTTCGATCAATATCGATCATTTTCGGATGCTTCAATTTTAAGTTCCAACTTCAGGCCACAAAACAAACTACCATACAAATAACAGGCATATTAAAGCTGGATTCTTCGTCTTGCACCAGGTGGCAGCACTTCTTTTCCAAAATCAGTGTTTATCTTTCCAAAATCTTCATTTCCTCGCTGAGGAGTGAAATCGGCCTCATCGTTGTCAAAAATAGCAGAATCGTTGTCATTTTTAGCACGTGTGACAAAAATAGCACGTGCTAAAAATGACAACGATTGACCAAACCTCCCCCGACTGGTATGTATTGAATTGAGTAAGATCTAAAAATTTGACTTTTATTGTTATGCTGGCAGACAGCTGCATTCACATTGCTGTGAGCGGCGTTTGTTGTGTTTAGTGTGTGCCGGTCGTGTGACCGCTCGTGTGACCGCCCGATTCGTACGGCTGGGCCGCCGCTCACACATATTAACCTCACAGCACACAAGCTACATATCGATTCATTTCCAAAATGCAGGACCGAATCGGCCAAGAAAAGACGGCGGCGTTCCCAGCAAGCCGCCGTCCAATCACGGCGCCTGGTATATCATAGTCTGATGGATGGTCCCTGGTACAAAGTATATCATTCGACGCGCCTTGACGTGCTGATTTCACTGGTGCTTTTCTTTTCTCTATCTTAATTGGATCAAAAGTTATAAGCGAAAAACTTTTGACCTGTTTTTAGCAAACATTTTACATTTATATCTCCCAAAACCCCCCTAAATATTGACCTAGAGCAACCAAATTTGCATAGGGGCGAGAACTCCAGGGGTCCCACCTACCTACCAAATTTGGTGTTTCTAGGTGCCATAGGAGCCAATCGCGAGGGGGGTCGCATCAACCCCCCCCCCCTGCCAGGCCGTGTTATGAAAAGTTAATGTAGGAGCTATGCACACATAAAGCATGTGTTGTTTACAGCATGGTACTTCGGCTGCAAGCTTGAAATGGAACTGACTTTAGTCTTATCTGCGTGTGGTAGCTCGAGCAGAGGTATTACATCTGCTTACGTGTCCCGTAGCAGCATTTTACACCTTGTCCTGCTCTCCCACAGAGCGCGCAAGCCACCAGCCAGCTGACGCAGAGCCCAGAGGGCGTTCGCCACCAACATCCGCACGGCGCAGCTGCAAAGATGATTTCTGCCATGGAGCAGCATCCGCGGCTCCATGACATCATCCTTCCATCATTCTCCATCATCATTCCCGGAGCTCACCCGGCGGCGGAGCCGGCGACGCCCGCGCCCCGCCTGGCCGTCCAGCCTGCGCGCTCCGCCGCGCGCCGCGGGCCCGGCTCGCCGAGACGTCCGGCTTAGGTCGGCGTTTGAGGCGCGGCGGGGGGCACCGTCTCTGTGCCCTGCTCCGGGTCCCCGCCGCCTGCGGTCTCTTCTGCTGCCGCCACTGAGGGGAGCGGCTCTTCTTTGAAGACGGCATCGGTCGACGGTGATGCTGGCGGGCCGGTGGCGGCGTGCCCCGTCGGCAGCGCGCCTCGGGAGGACGCTGGTGACGACGAATCTTCATTGCCGTCGGCACCGGTCGCGAGCGAGTCGCTGTTTAGTTGGCCTGCTACAGGCTTTGCTGTGCCAAAAAGTGCGACTGTGGCCAGACTGGTATACGATTTGTCAGTGCTTACGCCCCTCTTGCCGTGCCGGCCGTGCTCTTTGCCGTCTATTGAGGATGCGTTAGAGTTATCGTTTTGGGGTTTTATACCGGTATCAAGATTGATTTAAAAGATGGATTTCATCACATTCCACACGTCCTTTTGGTGTTTTGTATGATGGTAAAACGTACTTATACCTTTTCTCTGTTACCAATGGGCCCTATTAGGTACTGCATCTCATGCATTATTAGGTAGAGATGCAGTACCATTATTAGGTACTGCATTATTAGGTACTGAAGGAGATGCAGTTAGGTACTGCAGCAGTACCTAACAGATGCTTTCAGTGAACTTGTAGAGTCGAGATTTAACGTCAGGTGTGAGGTGTTTGGCGTATTTAGATGATTTTCTTTTTATGTCCAAGGACGCTGAATGGTATCGCTGCGTTTCTGACTAGTGTTGGGTTGTGTATTAATTTCAATAAATTAGTTCTCGTTCCGTCGCATGTTTTTACGTTTCTTGGTGTGTCGATTGACTTTGGACGTGATTCTGCGCGTGTTCAGGATAATGCCTTGTCTTGTCACTATTGCGGGATGGCCGTGGTCCAAGCACAGTCGCTGTGACAGACGGTTCGATGTGTCGACCAATCATGTTGCTTCGTTTTTGGCGCCTTGTGTGTTGTCCGGTCCGTCAAGACTCAGCTGGCTCAGTCTCGACTCTGGCTCTGGCTGGCTCAGTCTCAGTCTCATCAGAGAGCGAAAGGAGCTGCGCGCGCGGCTGCAGCAATTCATCGGCGGCGGCGCTGTGAACGCTGTGTCGGCGGCGCGCGAACAGGAGCTGATCGCGCTAAACGAGGACCGCCAGCAGCTTGTCCATCTGCAGCAGCTGGTGTTGCAGCTGATGGGCGGCCAGCAGCCGGCGGCGGTCGCTACCCCCCCCCCCCCCCGCCGGTCCTGTGTGCGGGGACCGCCGCGCCCGGCAGTGATGGAGGGTACTATGGCGGTGGTACATTCCTAACTGTTGTCACATATCAAATGAGAACCGTCCGGCCGGAGGCAGTTACCGCCGGCCGGCACCTACTCACCGTGGCCGTATTTTTTTATATGGAGAGAGGAGAGAGGAGAGAGAGGACATCAGGTTGTTAGAGAATGAAGTGTATATTTATTATTTGAATCGAGCGAGTCGCGTGTTCCACGAGCGGGACTTGGAGCAAAAAGCTGGCACTGAGATACAACGAACAGAACGTGGCGTCGAGCAGAAACGCCCCCGGCTATGTACACGGTGCTGCTGGGCGCGCGACCAACAAAACACGAGAATGCATCAACATCAAAGACACACGGTACATCAAAGCCCTCCGCGCCATCGCTGGGTCCGTCGGCACCGCTAGCGCTTCTACAAAACAAGCACGCACATAGAGACGCCATTTCCAAACGCACGCATACACAGAACAAAAACGCACATGCACGTCCATTCGTTTCACTCAGTCACCCATGAACGGCTTGGGTTTCCGGACGGTCACCAGCCGGCGGGGCCGCGCCGCGGCAATAGGCGTGAGTCTCCTCGTTGAGCTTGCTGAGCGCGCTGCCACCGGAGGCGGACGGGGCGCCGCCGGCCGCGCCGTCCTTCGCGTCGCTCACCTCCACCTCGACCCCACTGTCGGAGTCCACGGCGGCGGCGCGCCGGCGCAGCTGCTCGCAGATCTCCTCTGTGACGACGGTGCACGTGGTGCAGGAGCTTCCACTGGTACACCTGGCGCACACAGAGAAAACACGTCACCGGTAAATCCCAGTTTGAAGTGAAGGAAGATGTGCATGAAATCCTAGGACCAGACAACTCGCAGGGGGAAGTCCACAAATGACGCAACATCACTAGGTACAACCTCGTATCGCACAGCAATGTAAAATCATTAACGGTACCTAATGGTCTCCCTAATAATCAGTGTACAGCCCTCTGCAGACTGCGTGGTAGGTATTCTTTTTTCGACAAAACCGATAATAACTCAAAGGTTATGTTATCAGTCGGTCGGAACTCACTGCAAATAGATGCGCCATGCTCCACTCCTTCGATTAGGTTTATCAATAAACAAGGTTTACGCCTTGTGTGGCGACAAAATGCAAAAGTTTGTTTTGGGGGCAAATATAAACTTTTGGGTTTAATTGCCGAACTAGATGAAAAATGGATACGGTGATGATGCCAATCTAAGGGGCGGGGTCTAGCGCGTCTTACTGTTACGATTTCCGAATGACCGATAGCATAGTATTCGCGTTATTCTCATTTTTGTCGAAAAAAGAATACCTACCACGCAGTTTGCAGAGGGCTGTACGTGTATCTCCAACCCGAGCCGCCTCCCACTATAAGATCAAGACTTGTACCATGTGTCCTAAGTATTAAGTAATTAGTTCACCTGTATCAAGTTCACCTAGCACCACTTTTCTGAAAGAAAAGTGGTTCATGTTTTAGTGCCATCTTTCATTATAGAAAGACAATGATGTTGAATGTGTTTTCTGATGAACCACAAAGTGAAAATCAGTGATTCATTGGTGCATTGTATTTAAGAATTCCTTTTGAATTATCATGAGCAGAGTTGAATACCTCCTTTTGCACTCTTTAGAAAATGAAGAGACTCACAAAATTAAAACATGATTAGAAAGAACACATCCTTAGAAATGTTTTGTGTACTAACCATATCTTTTTCACAAAACATTTATAACTTCCACCAAACCACACAATGAGTCAGGTGAGATTATCTTACATTAGGTAAGGTTAGGTAAGGTTAGATTAGGTTGTATTATTTCTGCTTGTAGTGTACCTGACTTTTCAAGGTAGGTACATGATAATTTTAATTGCAATAATCATTAAAGTATATATTGGCTAGCAACCTAGATAAAGGCTAGGCCACACATGGCAATTACCTTTGGGGCTCGGGCTGGGCGGTGGGTGAAAAGTTGAGAATTCTTCTTGCCCCTCGACCACCTCCTCTCCTCACCCGTCCTTGTCCTCTCCCTCGCTCACCAGGCATCTTCACCTGGAAGGTAGGCATACAGAAATGGGCCAGTCTGCAAAACGTGGCAGGTCTTGACAATATGTTGTCAGGGCACACACCACAGGTTGTGGCAGGTTTGAGGAATTTTGGGGCAGAAGCAAGGAAATCTGGGGCAGAAGTTGAAAGCTTGTCACAGCATTGATTCGTTTCGCTTCTCATACTTATTAAATGATGCACTTCATCATTATATCATTTTCATCATATTCATGAGGGGCCCTCATGAAAGGAATTGGGTTGCCCAGGTCTCGGCATTCCGCTTGGGGCAATGTTTTGACTGTCCCAAACATCTTGTCACGGATTGAGCACCCTGCCACACTTTGAAGACTGGGAAATTGGTGCTGGAATGGAAACACTATCAGATTCATGACAACTTTTCCAATACCATAGGTATTTGTTATTCAAATAGCATTTGTCTCAACTTAGTCTATCACTATTCATATAAACCTGGAAAAAGTATAGCTTTTAATATCACATGCCAAAATACATGTAGGCCTATCAGATGAATCAGAATTGGAATATTTTAAGATATAGATAACATAACTCATTAAAACAGGCAATTCCAAAAGCGTAAACACGACATACATAACCAAACATTGTATATTTCAATTGTAACATGCGCGCCGTTTATGGCGACAAAACCCGCTTCCATATCTTATGACCTTGAAGTCTAGTGATGTGTCAACATTGTCGCTAGACATTATCCGATTGAAAATTTATGATAATCGATAATTTTTTACGCGATTCACGTGATGATAGCTTGCCAGGTGAATTCTAAAATTTCGTTTTATCCAGGGAAAAAATCATGGGCCGATCTGAGAAAACTTTTTGAAGGTGGCAGTCTTCCTTTAAGGATACCAAACATCGCCCTAAAATCCTTACGGATCGGCGAATGCATCCTTAAGGATTCAAGAGGGTCCGTAGAATCCTTAAGGATTTCACATCTGATCCATATGGGTCCTTATGGATCCTTAAGGATTGTGGGGATTCTGGCGAAATCCTTAAGGATTTTTTCACTAGGGATGGTCTCAGTCAGGTCGAAGGTCAAAGGTAATTTAAGCCAGGGTCAGGGATTTTTAAAGAATTAAAAATTGTTTAACTGCTACTGATGGTTTTGTTATGATCAGCCTCTTTGTGCGGGAATTATTCATGCGAAAAACCGAGTGCGCGGGGCCGTTCGAGTCCCTTTGTTAGCGCCATGAGTTAAAGCTGAGTTGAAATCTCCAAGTTGACGTGAAACCCAAGAAAAAGGTAGACCACAACATTCAATATTCATTTGACTCTTATCAATTTGTTTTTTTTTTCTTCAAGAAAATCACATTCTTTGTTGGATGTGTGCCCTATCTCATGAACATCAAAGTTTGTCTGAGTGATGTCATCTGCTTTTCTGATGCTTAATATTTTGATTAACCTTGAATCCTTACGAGCGAATGCACTGGCAACACTAATATTACTTTAGGATGATGTATAAAAGTGAGAGATGGACGGCGATGGTTATCGCTTACCGATAGCGGGCGATGTGTAGCCGTCTCCCATCGATTTCGGTAGACGTATGGATGGCTTTACTCGTAGACAGAAGTGGGACGGTGGCATGTCGCACTCAGCGGCGCTCATTTGTGCACTTCCGTCGAAAATAGTGGCCGGCAGAGCCTGACGTGAGCGTTTTTTGTCCTCTGCATGTCGCCGCGAACGATCTCCCACAAAGGGCAGGATATTTGCGGAGCGTGGGGCTTCTGGGAAGATAAGAACCACGGTCACTGGTAGATCCAGAGGTGGGGTAGTTGGGGTAATAATCCACCCACCTCCCAGCAGCGTCTAAATTCAATGAAAGTTTTCCGTGTTTCAGAATGAAAATAAAACAAAGCAACTTTTATTAGGAAAATGTTAGTCTTAACTGCACAAATGCTAACCAGTGCATAAGAAATTTGAATCCGAAGGGGTTTCGGAATTTGGAGAAACTACTTTGGGGTATGTCCCCTCCCCCTGTATAGCGTTCGAGACCGCTTCTCTGAATGCGCCTTTGGAGCAAGTCAGTCTGCATTTGTTTAGGGAGATAACAGTCGAATTCGCTCGCATTATGATTTATCATTGTATGTCATTGTCCATAGTGAAATCTGAATTGTTAGTTAATTAACATCATAAGCGACTGTCATTCTTTGTTTCTCATTAACGGCAATCTTTATCCGGTGAAATATGAAGATATGTTAATTGTTTTTTTCTGCATTGGTCTGACAGTTTGAGCCGCGGTGTTAGACTGACGCTGTGTTATGCAGACCAATGAGCCCCGTTGTCAGACTGGCGCCGTGTTCTGGTGAGTCCCAGCGTCTGACTGGCGCTGTGTTCTGGTGAGCCCCGGCATCTGACTGTCTCTGTGTTCTGATGAGCCCGGTGTCTCACTGGCGCTGTGTTCTGGTGAGCCCCTAATTAACGCTGCGTTCTGGTGAGACTCCCGGTGTCTGGCTGGCGCTGTGTTCTGTGGACCAGTAGCCGCCCCTATAACTGGCGCTGCGTTCTGCGGCAGGTCGAGGCCGACTTCCTGCAGCCGGACCTGGACCTGCTGTCCACCTTCGTACGCCCGGAGGACGTGGCCAAGTGGATCGACTGCTGCCAGAACGCCGTCTCCTGCTGCCACAGAATGATCGCCGCGGCGGGCAACACTGGTGAGCGTATTACTCGTCTGTACGGAGGAGCGACTGGACCACTTTGAACACTTTGAACGAGTAGATACTTTTCTAGGCGTTCCAATCAGCGGCCGTCTGTTTTTTGCACCTCTATTCCAAGTGGTTCTGATGGCTCGCGACACTTCTAACCACCTGTGGCGAAGTGAGTTCTGAAGTACAACACAGTACGAGACACGTACGATTGCAGTGAGGGTGACGGCGCCTCCGCCTCCTCTTTTGTAAGTGCTGACAGCTGGGTGGCTGTCACAACCAGGAGCAGTTGGAGTACAACTGCTAAGTAGAAAGGCAGGCACAGCCCTCACGATGGTCTCCCGTCACACACATGTGACTTCTAGTTGTGCGACTTTTGAACGGAGTTGAAATAAGGGCTGCGGAGTCGGAGTCGGAGTAGGAGTCGGAGTCGGTCGGAGTCGACAGTTGTGACCGGAGTCGGAGTCGGAGTCGATTTTAAAAACCCGAGCCGGAGTCGGAGTCGGAGTCACCGAAAATCTGTCGACTCCGCAGCCCTGCTAGGTCTGCGGAGTCGGAGTCGGGAGTTGGAGTCGGTCGGAGTCGACAATTCTGCCCGGAGTCGGAGTCGGAGTCGGAGCTGGTTTTTGAAAGCCGGAGTCGGAGTCGGAGTCGCCGAAAATCCATCGACTCCGCATGGCTCTGGTTGAAATCGCCTGGCAGGTGAATGCTCACTATTACTGCATATTTCCTCATCTGTCATACTCCTCAGTCCTCACTCTTCCTCTCTCGCTCTGTCTGGCTGTGTATGTCTGCGCCGTTTTCTTCCCTCTTGCGTGGTGTATCTGTATTCATCGCTTTCTGTTACTCTGTCACGAAACCCAATGCAGCATTTCACCCGCCCCTATGAAATATGAATATGTTTTCGTCAAAATAGTTTTACCTTTTAGTATGGAAGAGAATTAATGAATATCATGTGCGTGGTGAACATGTTGATTACCGGGCACAACATCCGATACGGATAACCGATTACAACAAATCATTGTATCCACGGGCGGGTAGAGAAAGGCCAACGTGGTGCAACTTTTGGGCGCTAAACACACGGAGGGGATAGACGTTTCTGTAGTATAATTGGCACTCTCTGGGCGCTTCCCAAACACCTGTTACAATTGAAGTACATTTTGGGATGTCATATTTCATCGACTTTGCGCGTAGAATCGATAACCGTCTTACCTGCGACTTAGGTTTTAGTATCGGACTGCGTCTGTAAATGGGTGTCATACCTGTGGGCGTTCAAATAAATACATACATACCTGCGCTGGTTAGAGGCCATATCACTTGCCTAAGTCCGTTGGCTACCATGCTTATTGCACTCTATCGTTTGAACAAAGGAACATTCCGAGGGTAGATTGATATTACACGTTACGTACTGGAAAGGAATGTCTCGTAGCACAGTCCATTCATCGATTAAATTCCATCGAGTAATCATGAAGTAAATGCAACTTGCCTGAGTGATTTTTAGTGATTAATTACGTTCGATAAGCTTATGCAATAGTCTAATAAGCTCGGAAATATTACTTGACTTGATTTGTACTTGATGAGAGTGGGATTTGTGGGACTTAATAAACATTGAACCCGAATGTCGCATTCACAGTGACACCAAAAAATTGCACATTTATTGTCGTATATTCATCTCATAATGAGCAATAGCAATTATAATAGAAGTAAACCGACAGAAATTTCTAGGGAAAATGAATAAGAACCGCGACCCAAGTTTTAAGTAAAAGTAAGGAAATAACATTTTTATGGACTTATGCGGGTTTAAAGATGGATGAAAACATGATTGGCACTGGAGTATGCACGAATGATGACGCAAAAACTCTACAACATGGTACAGAAATGACGGGTTCTTCATATACTTCTAGTGGGCGACAGGATCAGGCACCCTCATTGATTTTTGTACATATGTTCTGCTCTCCATCGGGTTGGGCTCTGCCGGCTGCGTGTGCTGAACCGTATCACTGCAGATTCCTAGTAAACTTACACCTAATTGGTGCTATCCCACACCAAGTTAGTGCTCCACCAGTCGGGAGACGGAAAGTTTGTGTGGTAATTCTCGAACTTTGTCTTTGGTCTGCGGAGCATCGGATGCGTGTTTTCTGTCATTGCTAACGGTGCTCTGTCAGGCAGCTGACAGCGCCGATGTTTTCTGCCCGGTCTGCAGCAGTCGTCATCCGAACAGACTCGGTCGCACAGTGGGCACCAGGCCACTGCAGCTCTGGCTATAGTTACTGAATTGAGCACTGGCTCTTGTCATCTGTTGAGTCCCCATGGTCCCATGGGGTACCCTTACAAAGAAGCTAATGGAACCTTTCCGCTCATTGTCACTGTTCTTTGCAAAATTACGCAGCACAGACAGGACTAAGGCACTGCGGTGTGCTAAATGCTGTATTCTGAGACCCTACAGCTGTTCCGCTGAATTTCCAAGTGAATGACCCAATCGTCCGGTATTAAGCTCTCCGCTGAATTGTGTGAAGTACCTGCTATTTCGCACAAGGAGTCCTCTTTAGTCAGCGCTCTTGGCTGGCGCTCGGGGACAGCTTGTTTTGCTGGTTTAGCTCTCCAGTAAGTGCGGGTCTTGCGCTGTTGAGATAGGCATAACGAGCTGAAACTCGGTCGCTCTGAGAACTACTGAATATGACGCAGCAGTTGAAGAGGTTTCGATGGTAGAATCCACCCACTGATAGATGGCCGATGCAAGCGAGAGGGTTTGAAGGCAAGTGCAGATGCTGGTCTATTCAGTGAAGTAAATGGACGCTATGTTCCCCTCGGTGCATCCCTCTTCAGATTGGTTTGGTGTCCTCCGACCCGGGGCGGCTGGCAGTGTTTGATATCGGGCTGATTGTGATGTTCCTCCCTTCCATGCAGACACGGACTGGTGTCCGCGACCTGGGACGGTTGGCAGTGCCACTGGTCCTATGAGTGTCCAGCTGACTGTGCTGTCCCCTCCCTCCCCTCAGACACGGACTGGTGTCCGCCGACCTGGGACGGCTGACAGTGTTGGGAGGTACCGAGAGTGCCCAGCTGACTGTGGTGTCCCTCCCTCCCCTCAGACACGGACTGGTGTCCGCCGACCTGGGACGGCTGACAGTGTTGGGAGGTACCGAGAGTGCCCAGCTGACTGTGGTGTCCCTCCCTCCCCTCAGACACGGACTGGTGTCCGCCGACCTGGGACGGCTGACAGTGTTGGGAGGTACCGAGAGTGCCCAGCTGACTGTGGTGTCCCCTCCCTCCCTCAGAGACGGACTGGTGTCCGCCGACCTGGGACGGCTGGCAGTGTTCTGAGTGCCCAGCTGACTGTGGTGTCCCTCCCTCCCTCAGAGACGGACTGGTGTCCGCCGACCTGGGACGGCTGGCAGTGCTGGCAGGCGGCGGCGCCGGGATCCACGGCCACCGCCGTTTGTCCCGACTACGTCTACTTCGACAACACTCCGCATTGCGACCGTGAGTGGCAGCCAGTGCTGCAGGCAGGGCAAACACACTGTGACCGTGAGTGGTAGCCAGTGCTGCAGGCAGGGCAAACACACTGCAGCAGTGCAAACCAAGGCTATAGAACTCCAGGTAAGGACACCAGCCGTTTGACCTTGAACGCCGCCGGCCGGCCGATGACGTCATTGGAGGCAAGCCGGCTCGGCGGACACACAAGGCGAATGCATAACGGAGGGGCGTTGGAACGTTGCGGGAGCCGGGGGGATATTTTAATGTGGTTGCATACCACCATTGTTATGTTGATTGATCTACAGACTGCATTCTTTTAAACCTCGATGCATCCTAGGCCTGGATGGTGCGTAGGTACATTCGTGGAACGATCACCCCGTCCGACGTCCGTGGTCGAGGCTGTCATAGTATTAACCCGCGCCCTGCTGGGGGGGTGTTTGAACACCCCCCCCTTGTGGTTTTTCGCGAATATCTCAAAAACGGCGGCGCGGAGCGCCGCCGTTTTTGGTACACCTTATCATACATCAATTCTACACATGTTGTAAAAATTTCAGACCAAGGTCATTCAAGGTCAGGTCACTAGGTCACTTGAAGTGACCTCACCTCATAAAAAGTTTCAATGTCTGTCATAGCTACATCGAGTGACCGATCGCTTTGAAACTTTCAGCGATTGCTAAGAGCAATAGCATGTACAAAATGTATATCTCAGAATTTTGATATCGATGACCTAAGGTCAGGTCAATTTTGCGACCTCCCCATTATAAGTCAATGGGAGAAAATTGAAATGCGCCTCCTTTGGACGAAAGACATTATAAACACTCCCAAACACTGAATTACAAGTGTTTTAGACACACTGAACATGAAAATGGTGTCCGTGACCCCTGTTTATGCCCTGAGGTCATCTTAGGTCACGAATGGTACCTAACAGTTTTTCGCAAATAACTTTTGATAGAGGCATGCTAGAGCGATGAAAACGCCTTAGATGTGTTCATCTCGACGATACGGATCGACTGATATGCAACATGACCCTTCCGGTCAGGTCATGACCTTGACCTGAGGTCAAATTTTCAAGTTGACCTTTCAAGGTCAAGTTATAGTTCATTCGATGCGTCTTGACGAGAGGAACACGATGCCGGTAAAAGTAAGCTCGTACAAGGCTTGGGTCAAAAGTTATTGCAGAAAAACTGTTTCCGAAAAAATCGGCTATTTTTGCAGTTTTTGCCCCCTGCAGGCAAAACCATTGACGTTAGGTCAAATCTGAGAGAATTACTCAGAAAGGGCGTTAATAGGGCTATCGAATGCGCTTTTCCGCGGCGCTGTAGCTCTATTGGTTCCCGAGTTATGCGTTGGCTTCTTGGAAGTTTTCGACATTCGACCTGGAAATCGGCGAAATTTTGCCTTCAATGACCTCTGGTGACCTGACCTTTGACCTGACCAAAAAATTGACCGAAGTTATTTCCTCATTATTTTTGACGCTCTTTCGAACGCCGCCTTCCGCGTATCGCTACGTGGCCCAGGAGCCGAGTTAGAAGGGGGGGGGGGTGTTCAAACACCCCCCCCCCCAGCAGGGCGTGGAAATCCAGGACCCCCAGCTGGGCGCGGGTTAAAGACACTAAGACGGGTGCAATAACGGCGATCCGATCCCGTCTCTGGCGAATCTAAAGGGGTCGTAAGGACCCAGACCGAATCTGACCGTCTATTTTTAGGGAAACAGGGTGGGTGAATTGACAACCGATGGCTTAGGAGATGATGAGAAGGGATCCCGTCGTCGATTGTTGTTTGACAGACAACACATATTGTACTGGGCGTATGACCATCAGAGGTAATGCCTGAACGTAGGCAAGCATAATTGGTCTGTCATACTGTTAAGGAATATAAAATGGTAATGGAGATCATTGAGGATATGATCTCTACATTACGGGAATTCACTAATTACTACGGCCCATAGGGGCACCGCCGGAGCTGTTGTTTTGCCATCGGTCCCAGGCAACTCCAGGGAGCTGCAGTACCCGGCGGCCAAAGCGGCCACCTCATCGACTCGCAGGTCCTGTGGGATTCCGTGATGCTTTAGTGCTTCACCCACAGAGGCACGGGCATAGCAGTAGGATGTGGGGCTAGGTGTCTGCCCACCTCTTCATTGAAAGAACAACGTATACAGCGCCTGGTCCCGCCGAAGCTCGGTATCGACCGTGACTTATTCACAACTGGCGGATCCAGGAAGCGGTCTTGGACACTGCGGGGGCTTACCCCAAAAAGGTTTCTCGGAATTAATTTAAAAAAAACCTCGGATTTCGATTCCTTGCGCACTGCTGTGCAGTGTGATTAACCAACATTTCCTCAGAAAAGCTGTGAAGTTTTCTTTTATTCTCGAAAAGCGATTTCGGGCGCTGCCCTGGTTGTGGGGGAAGACATTTGCCCCAAATACCTTCCCCTGGATCCGCCAGTGGGCTGCCCCACTCCGAGCTTGACTAAAAACGTCTTCAAACCCCAGCAGAAACCGATGGTAAGGTGAATTTAAATCCAATAACTCATCTGTGTCTGCCCGCCTAAATATACGACACATGGTACGGCACCGGCCCTGTCGGAGCTATGAGCCGATCGTGATATTTTCGGCTTTCTCCATCCCAAGCTCGATTAGAAACGTTCTCCTTCCCCACCCGATTGCTGATGTCAATTCAAATTCAATACCTCATCTCTGTCTGCCCGACCATAACCCATTCATTGCACACCGTTCAGCGCCTGGCCCCGCCAGAAGTATCCTAGCGCGCTGAGCAGTTGCCTCCAGCCGCGTCATCGCGAGGCCCCGCGCGGCCCATAAATGAATACATTGCGCGAATAGCCGTGTCGCCCCCTGGTGCAAACATTAGTCTGTGAGGTGCAGTAACAGGTGCCCACTTATTATATTTTTTTTTTTTAAGAGAAACATAACTCCAGTTTATTGTATTTTCTTATGCTAAAACAGCTTTAAGTTACATGCTTTACTTAACCCGCGCCCGGCTGGGGGTCCTGGATTTCCACGCCCTGCTGGGGGGGGGGGGTGTTCAAACACACACCCCCCCTTCTAACTCGGCTCCTGGGCCACGTAGCGATACGCCGAAGGCGGTGTTCGAAAGAGCGTCAAAAATAATGACGAAATCACTTCGGTCAATTTTTGGGTCAGGTCAAAGGTCAGGTCACCAGAGGTCATTGAAGGCAAAATTTCGCCGATTTCCAGGTCGAATGTCGACAATTTCCAAGAAGCCAACGCATAACTCGGGAACCAATAGAGCTACAGCGCCACGGAAAAGCGCATTCGATAGCCCTATTAACGCCCTTTCTGAGTAATTCCCTCAGATTTGACCTAACGTCAACGGTTTTGCCTGCAGGGGGCAAAAACTGCAAAAATAGCCGATTTTTTCGGAAACAGTTTTTCTGCAATAACTTTTGAACCAAGCATTGTACGAGCTTACTGTTACCGGCATCGTGTTCCTCTCGTCAAGACGCGTCGAATTAACTATAACTTGACCTTGAAAGGTCAACTTGAAAATTTGACCTCAGGTCAAGGTCATGACCTGACCGGGAAGGGTCATGTTGCATATCAGTCGATCCGTATCGTCGAGCTGAACACATGTAAGGCCTTTTCATCGCTCTAGCATGCCTCTATCAAAAGTTATTTGCGAAAAACTGCTAGATACCATTCGTGACCTAAGATGACCTCAGGGCATAAACAGGGGTCACGGACACCATTTTCATGTTCAGTGTAACTAAACCACTTGAAATTCAGTGTTTGGGAGTGTTCATAATATCCTTCGTCAAAAAGAGGCGCATTTCAATTTTCTCTCATTGACTTATAATGGGGAGGTCGCAAAATTGACCTGACCTTAGGTCATCGATATAAAAATTCTGAGATATACATTTTTTACATGCTATTGCTCTTAGCAATCGCTGAAAGTTTCAAAGTGATCGGTCACTCGGTGTAGCTTTGACAGACATTGAAACTTTTTAGGAGGTGAGGTCACTTCAAGTGACCTGGTGACCTGACCTTGAATGACCTTGGTCTGAAATTTTCACAACATGTGTAGAATTGATGTATGATAAGGTGTACCAAAAACGGCGGGCGCGGGTTAAAACAAGACGTCCAAAAAATCAAATGGGAAAAAACAAAAAAAAAGCCTTTCGCCGTAAAAAAGCAAATCCATCCTTGGAAAATGTTCATCGGTTTTCTGCCGCTAGGGCAGAGTTTAAATCGCTGGTAGCCGTGAAATACCGTCAGTATCTATTGAGTCTTGTTGATGACTTTAAAGACAATCCTAAACGTTACTGGTCGTTTGTCAAAGCAGTTAAGTCATCAGCACAAGTGTCTCCTGTCTTGGAATGTGACGGTCGTGTATATCGTGGAGATGGCGAGCGTGCGAACTGTTTGAACGCTTGTTTTGCCCGTAAGTTTAGCGACCCGGCGGTTGATGCACTGCCGGTGGCGCCGGTGCTCGGTGCCCCTGGAACAGACCGCTTCACTGTGCCGCGAGGCCGGGTCGCTCAGTTACTGCGGGAGCTGTCCCCGCACAAGGCCTGTGGCCCAGACGGCCTCGCATTCTGCGTGAATGTGCTGATGAGGTAGCCGTCCCACTTGAAATCATTTGTGAGATGTCTGTTTCTTGTGGGTACTTCCCATCCTATTGGAGACAGGCTAATGTTGTTAGCATTCATAAGAAAGGTTCCAAGAAAATCCCTGACAATTACCGACCCGTTTCCTTGCTCTCAATTTGCTCAAAAGTCCTAGAGAAGGTAGTTTTGGAGAACCTCCTGCCGGTCTGTCTTCCTGCCATCCCCGCCAACAGCATGGATTCCTGCCAGGCCGCTCATGTGTCACTAACCTGTCCTGCTTCCTTGATCACTGCTGGTCTTCCATTTCCAAAGGTAAACAGACAGACGCCATTTACACCGACTTTTCGTCCGCCTTCACGTCTGTAAACCATGTCCTACTTCTTCATAAACTCCGCTCATCCTTTCACATCACTGGCACTGCTCACTCCTGGCTTACATCCTATCTCAGCGATCGCATGCAGCGCGTTGTATTGAACGGCAAGCATTCGGCGTGGACTGCTGTGCAGTCAGGCGTGCCCGAAGGCAGCATTTTGGGACCTTTGTTGTTCGCGTGCTTTGTTGCTGACATCCCGAAGTGTATGGAGACTGGCTGCCTGTTATATGCAGATGATGTCAAGCTGTTTCACCGAGTGGGGTCCGATGATGATGTTGCTTTACTTCAGGCGGACTTAGACAAGCTTCACGACTGGTGTAAAACATGGAAACTAAAACTCAATCCGGTTAAATGTCAAACGATCACTTTCACCCTTAGGACAACTCCCATTCAGTCGACATACAGAGTTAATGGTCATGTGCTTAATCGTTGTCAGGAGGTGCGCGATTTAAGCATCCTTTTGGACGCTAGGCTTACGTTTTCGCAGCATGTTGATGCCACCATACGGAAATGTAACAAGATGTTAGGCCTAATAATGCGCAGTGTACAGTTGCCTCGATGTCCCCGGCGGGTCAAATTCAATCGAACTGCGCTGCTTGCCGCCTACAAAGCTCACGTCCGCTCAATTGCTGAGTACGGCAGCGTTGTCTGGAGCGGTGCAGCAAAGACCCATCTTGTGCGGCTCGAGCGAATGCAGCATCGTTTTTTGATGTGGCTGGCATCAAACTCCGACGGAGACGGCTCCAGTCTTGATTACGTGTGTCTCCTGAACCGCTTTGGTTTGTGCTCGATTAAGTCCCGCTTTGTACAGACCGATCTTTCATTTCTAGTCAATGTGTATCGCAATAGGATTGACTGCCCTTACCTGATGGCAATCTTCGGACTAGCAGTCCCCAACAGACGCTCTCGACAGACAGGGCTGTTCCACGTACCTTTCGGTCGCGTGAACACTGTGAAGTCAGGGTTCACTGTCCGTATCCCTGTGCTATGTAACCGCTTCTTGCAACATACACCCACCGCTGACATGTTGGCATCATCGTGCTCCGTTTTATCGGACATCCGTGAGTTTGCTCGTTCTCAGGGAACGTACATGTAATGTGTTGTCATCGTTGTGTGCATGTGTTGTGTTGTGTTACTAGTTTAAATTGACTGCCACTGTAAATGGGCTGCAAGGCCTGTAGTCGGTTAATGCAAATACAGAATACAGAATACAGAATACAAACATCTATTACTAGGATACCGACTGACGTTGTGTTCTGTCCACAGACTACGCCACCAAGGAGTGTGAGCACACCGGCCGGTGGTTCACGATTCTCAACAGCCGTAACCAGACTCGCGAGTGGTCCGACTACGGGCCCTGTAAGCAGCTGACCGAGCTGCTGCGGAGGGTGTATGTGCACGTGACGGCCAACGCCGTGTCCATCGTGGCTCTCGTGCCGGCGCTCATAATATTCTTCAGCTACAGGTGAGCGCATTTATCTGACGGTTGTTGTTGGCTAGGGATTGGTATTTTAGGGATTGTTGAATTCGCCGAAAGCTTTGTCTTAGAGTCGGGAGTAATGCGGTTGTTATTCCGTTATGTAATAAAATTTTAAGTTCAACGATGCCACGCCTATGTAATCCATGATGGCTTAGCACAGATCAGTCTAACATGTTATTTATTACACCGTTGCACATTTCTGACATATCGGCAAGCGACAAACTTTCAGTACAAAACGGATGCTTATGTAACGTGGCGGTGCTAGCTTAATTAACGATGTAAACAACATATTTACAGACGGGTTTGATATCTGTTGTAAATCGCAGTGATCAGTGATCATTTTTTTTTCAGACAGCTGAATGTTCATCGCGTCAGCATCCACAAGAATTTCTTCATGTCACTGCTGCTGAATTCAGTGATGGTCATTGTGTTCAAATGTGTTGTCATCCTCGACGAACTGAAGGGAGGGAGTCCTTCAATCGTCCAACAGGTAATCCGTCAACCAACACGGGCAGAGTGAACTGGTCACACTCAATAAAGTACCACACAAACAGAGGCGGATCTAGCTCAGAGTTTTTTTTTGGGGGGGGGGCAAACCATAACAATTTATCGATTCTTTCCATGCATCGTCCATAGGCGTAATGTTAAAATTATGTCGTTGGGGGGGGGGGGGGGCAAATGCCCATTTTGCCCCCCCCCTGGATCCGCCACTGCACACAAAATATACCGTGAGGATCATCTCTATTGTAACTTGTTGGCTTGGCTGTAAGTGATGTTTTTCTTCAACCTCTAATCTGACGGATCTATCTCTTTTTCAGAATGGCATTGGGTGCAAGCTATTATTTTTACTCACAAAGTACTGCCGCCTCACAAACTACTTGTGGCAGTTTTGCGAAGGGTTTTATCTGCACAAGCTTATAGCGTCAGCGTTTGCGGAGCAGAAGAGTCTACTAGTGTTCTACCTCATAGGATGGGGTAAGAAAGAAAATGAGTGAATGTGAATATGCTTTAGAGCATGTCTCTGCTCATGGTCGTAATAAAACCGGCCAGAAAATTGCCTCAGAATTTTACCATCGTTACGAAAAAATGACCGTCGACCTAATACGCCAGCTTAACGGATATTTTTTCACATCAACTTCTATTTTTTGCTTGCGTGTCCGTCGGAAGTTGTGGGCGACCGGCGACTTGAATAAATTATCACAGTCGGATATTTTCTATCTTGTAAAACTAACCTCTGAATTCTGATCCATTTTCAAAATCTACACCCATATGATAAGTCCATATACGAGTATGAAACTGATTGTTATCTTAACACTTAATAAGATATGATTCTGCTTTTAGGTTCGCGCTGTTGAGTGTAAAGGCCGGGCTCCACTACGCGTTTTTTTTCACGCGCGTTTTATCCGTGTCTGCGGGTTTTCCGTGAAATAGGTTTTGCTCTATATAGGGCCTTGGGTTTTGCTGGGTTTTGCAATTTGTCGGTTTTTGCGTGATATCGTTTTTTGCTTGTCATCCTGAAGCACGTGACATTGTTGTCATTAAACCCAGGCTCCACTACGCGGAAAATCATACTTTGTTTATTCTGAGCCTATAAAGAAGGTGTTTTGCAAATACATTTAACAAAAAGCACACCAAACTTTTGTAAATTTTGTCTGAAGGGTTGAGTGGGTGGCTTTGAGCCTGGGTGACCACTAAGCAGAGGTTGTTGCATAGCAGCATGGACCCACCAATCAATCTTCACCAGCACCCAGTTCATGTTCAACAGGTGGATGGCAGCACGGCGCAAAGCTGGGCAATTTCTCACGCCGGAGCCTCTGTGCTCGGCGTTTACATACCTACTTTTTGATGCACCTGTTCATTATTTGAAGGGCATAAATGACAAAATTGAGCAGAGTTTGATACTGAACTGTCTTGCACTTGTTGCTAACCTTGCACCCATGATAAACTTGCTTAAATACATAACCTATTTAACAATACATAACCTATTTAACAATGTCAAAACCAAATACAAAATTGCATTCACATTGTTTGCCGCAGCGTGCAAGTTCTATCTCCCAGCCGCGAGATCACGCAAAAAAAAAACGATGAAAAGTTCAAGTAATTGAACTTTTTGTAGGTACGAGATTTCCGAGTTTGCGTGACATCGTCATGCGTTTTACCGAGATTTCCTTAAAATCGGTACGGAATTTGCAAGTTGTCGTGTTTTGCGTGACATCTTTCCCAGTGTAGCTTGCCCAATGTTGAGCAATGATGCGAACTTTTTTTTCGGGAACGATTTCACGCAAAAACCGATGTCTCGGATAAAACGCACGGAAAAAAAACGCGTAGTGGAGCCCAGCCTTAAGGCTTTGACTTTGACACCGAATTTATCGCTCCTGATTTCCTTTCTTCATTCGCATTCTTCCCAAACCTTTTGCATATTGATGAATAAAACAAGCCCTTTCTGGATGCGATGGGTTTTTAGAGTTTGAACTAGAAACCATAATAAGTTTTATATGAACGTTTCTCGCGTCTGCTATTTTGCATGCCCACCAGAACGTTCTTTAGAGCTGTTCTGAGCAGAGTTATTGTCGGCTTTGCTGCCTTTGAACCCGAAACAGGTGCGATAAATGCGTCATGCTGCAGAGCGTTGCTCGTTCATCGCCCCATTGACCTTATGCACTCTTTGCAACCGTAAATGGTGTCATATGAGGAGGTCTAGATTGAATCTCCACTTTCGGTTTTGCTTTCCTATGGATAACGCAAAATCTGATTGAGCTGAGCACATATTCTAAATTTCAAAGATTGATGAAGTTATGTTGTGTTGAATGATAAAGCTTAAACTTTTGAGCAAAGCTAATATTGACGAAAGGTGTTTATGTGTATGTTGCGGAAGCTACTCCCAGCTTAGCGGTGTCTTCCGTGCTCTTGTGTTATCGGTCGTTCGTGTGTTGGCGACTGGTCTGATTGCGATATGCTCCCGTGTTTCAGTGTTTCCGGTCATTCACGTGGTCATGTGTTCTGTGTTCGTCACATGACAGCGGTAGCCTGCCATGTTCCAGTGTTCCCGGCGGTTCCTATGGCCGTGTATTCTGTGCTCCCGATGCTACAGCGGTCTGTAGCATCGGGAACGAAACATCGAAACACTGGAACACGGTGTGCTCCGTGTTCCAGTGTTCCCAGTCGTTCCCATGGCCTCGTGTTCTAGTGTTCCCAATACCACAGCGGTCTGCCCCGTGCTCCAGTGTTTCCGGTCGTTCCTATGGCCGTGTGTTCTGTGCTCCTAATGCCACAGCGGTTTGCTCTATATTTCAGTGTTCCCAGTCGTTCCTGTGGCCATATACGCCGCGCTGAGGGCACGGTTCGCCGACCAACAGTGCTGGGTTTTGCCTGTCGAAGGCTACGAGTGGGTCCTCAACGCCCCCTGCCTCCTCAGTCTAGTGGTAAGCACATGTTTCAACATGAAACACCTGTTGCAAACGGGCTAAGCAGAAACCCAGACGGAAAGCTTCTTGTACTTACAGTTTACGAAACATTGGCACAGCTTTGCATGGTTAGCAGTGCACCAATGCATTTAGACTCGAATATAATCTAAGATTGAATGATTACTTTATCCGTAAACTCGCGGGCCGCGGCTGTTACTATCTCTCGTCGATGAGTATTTGACGAGAAAAAGTTGATTGTTGTTGATATGTGATCTCTTTCGGGTCTATTTTCAGGTCTGTACCATATTCCTAATCAACATTATTCGTGTGCTGGTGACAAAGTTACGAGCCCAGCACGCCAATGAGCCCAGCCAGTACAGGTGAGTGGGGCGGAAACTTGGCAACTCTGCAGGTGAGCAAACGCCACATGGACACGAAATTTTTGGCCTGTTACATACGAGTACCTATTAAAAACTTATCAGTATTCACTGGATAGATGTAGAGGTCAGAATCGATTTATCGAGTAGTTCTGGAGTTGTGATACGATTGTCGCCTTTTGGCATTCAATGGAACGCATAGTGCTGTATTATTCATAATGTTTTTGTGTAGGCAATGTTGTCATTTTTATTTAACACAAGTAGTTTTAGTAGAACGAGAGACGAAAACGCAATTAATGACTTCAATATATAGCATAATATACGAAATTTAAGTATTCGATGTAAACCATTAAATATACCAGTATAACGCCTTTTGGGGCGACTAACGGAGCGAGCGAGAGGGTGGGCCTTGCACGTGCGAAATTGCGAAGGGGTACCTCCAACTGACTTGTGCATGGCACCCTACTAACCGGTCTCTAGCGATGTGCCAAATTTGGGCGCAATCGGCCCAGCCGTTCTCGAGATCTGGAAGCGGCACCCTGCACGTGCGCACGTGCAAAATGGGTCCCAACTGACTTGTGCACGGCACCCTACTAACCGGTCCCTAACTGTGTACCAAATTTGAGGGTAATTGGTCGAGCCGTTCTCGAGATCTGGAAACGACCCCTGCACGTGCGCACGTGCAGCAGCACTCCAACTCTGGCACATGGATATGCATTGCCTAGTGGGTGCCTACCTACATGCCAACTTTCAGCGCAATCGGCCAAGTAGTTACCGAGATATTGCAACAATTACAAAAGTGACACCTCTTCGTTTTGCACGTGGCACGTGCATAAGGGGTCACCCACATGCATCGGGAATAGTCCAATACTTGGTAGAAGGAATGAAGCTACCCTACAAAAATTACCGCATGTAAATCGGTCAAGTGGTTGCTGAGATATAAGCGTCGCAAAAGCGTGACCACGGCCGGCCGGCCGCTCATACTCAGAAATTTCCGTTAAAGGTAGTGTGCCACCTTTGAAAGATTTCCCATTTTATTTTTCCTAGGATAAGAAGCTTCTGTTTTTACCTAATATCGCAAAAAAAAATCAAAAATGGGCCTGGAATAGTGCCTTTTTCGCCTAAAAGTTTATCGGTTTTTAGATATGTATAACAACTGTAGTGGGCTCACCTGCAAACAGGCGTCGGGCAACAATCGCGAATGCGGCGCACTTGTGACAATAAGCAAAGGTCATTATAGTGTTACGACCATACGACGTACGGGAATGAGTTATCAGCTGTCTAATCGTAGACAACACAATGTCGAGCCTTAAACTGTAAGCCCGTATTGGTATTGTTTCTTTTATTTGGCTGTCGAACATTATTTATGGTTTGAAATATGATTTTATGTAAAATAATTGATATGAAAAAGCCGCCTTATAAGTTATGACCCCATTTCACCACACGTAAGTGGCAGAAATGACAATGATCAGCTGACGCATTTTTCTTGGCCGAAGTCAGAGCGCGTGGCCCGACGCACCACGCGTATTTGGAAATTCCGACCTCGACGAGCATCAGAAGCCAACTAACAGGCGTGTTCGAAACCGCAGGAGCTGATGATGAACGGGTTTATCGAAACTTGATTGGATGAGCATATCGGTAATAGCGATTTCAGTGTGTGCATTTATTGTTCACAGTGGTGTGAAATGTGGTTGGGGTACGACCGACAACCCGTCGGGGCGAATTTCGCACTGGGGTACTCAAAATTTGAAGAATTTAAGACGTTTCCATGAGTTTTGAAGGTATGGATAAGTTCTAAAAATCCGGTTCTCCTTATCTGGGCCATTAACTCCATACGGTCCATGAAAGCTGGCACACTACCTTTAATCTAAGCATGATCTAAGGAAAGACTACGCTCGCTTCGCTCGCTCCGTAATTAAACAAATGATCTTCATTCGTTTAACTTTGTCGACCGCTAAGGCACCACTGACTTACATCGACTGAAATTGTTACAAGTTATTTGACATTGCATCAGTTACAGAGGGCCATAATGGTGTCACAACTTGCGTGCATGATCTATTGATAAATGTCTAACAAATTATCGTCACCGTGTTTCTCCTCGCTAATCAAACACTGATGAAAAGAGCCGATTTACATATGTGTGCCCGTGTGTCCAGCCAGCCAATCAACTGATTTTCTACCGGCTTGTTTTTCGTTTGAAGCTAGAGAAATGGAATTCGTTTTTTGCATAGATTATGAACTTCAAAGAGAATGGCTCCACGTAACGTTTCCAGTGATAGTTTGCATATGCTTGGAGTCGACGTAACTTTAAAAACAATTCCTTCAATTTAGCCCTGGAGCTCGTTTTGGCGTTTTGCTAGACGCTGACGTACAGGGGAGGAAAGGGGGCTGGACCTTAATCGAGCTAGAGCTTCGCGGAAAGAAACGAGCATATAATCTGAGACGAGAGAAAGCTACCAAAGATACCAAATTGTAAGGTGGCTGACCTTCCAGGTCAGGTCAATGACCCAGTAGTTAGCCCGCGCATGACTGGGGTATTTTCCACAACGCGAGTGACTGGGGGGGGGCTCTCCAGAGCCCCCTTCTATCTCCGAAGCTACTGGGCCGATCGTCAAAATTCAAACGGCGTCTGATAGCCCTGGAAAAACTGTCGAGCGAAACCTATTTTCATTAACCTCGAGGTCACTGATGACGTCACAGGTCAGGTCAAAGTAAAAATTATCGACATTTTTGTTAGTTCACAATTTAGGCTCTGACCGCCGGACCGCCGGTCCGATCAGGCTCATTTTTGGTTTACGCACTCCTTGATGGATGCCTTAGATACCCTGAGGGTACCGAACTTTTACTTCGAATTTTTAAGGTCAAGGCCAGCTCATCCTAGGTCACGAAAATTGTATATCATGTATCGGTCACGTGACGCATGTTTTATGGTCCATTTTACTCGTAGATTTCGAAAATAGTGTCGTTTGTGTCATTTGAGGTCATTGTCAGCTGAATTTACCGGAGGTCAGGTCACTTTCAGGTCAGAAAAGGTCAAATTTTGAAAATGAAATTTTTCAATAACAAAGGTGCCTAGCAGATGCAGTTTGAGCTCAGGAACACGATGGTGCCATTTATATTGCTGTACGACGTTAAAAACGTACTGAAAAATGGATTTGGAAAAATATAAAATTGTAAAATTTTGACAATAATGCGAATAACTTGGCTATTTTTGAAGATATTGGGCTAAAACTTGCAACTGTAGTTCATCAGTGTGTGTTCTATCACATATATTCCGGTTTTTGCGAAAAGTCAAAACTTTTTGAAATCAAAAAATATATTTTTGTAATTGTAAATTAATATTTTTCAAAATTTTCAAAATTTCGAAAATTCGAGATAGCAGTTCGATAGCTAGGTGTATTTGTAGTCCACTCATGCAAAGAAAATGAATGTAGCTTTACAACTGAGCTCTTGAGAGCGTTTGCCGTATTTCAGTATTTTGCATGAAAATCGGCCGACATGACGTCACTCTGACGTCATTTCCGGCTAAACTATGGTAGCTAGAAAGTTGAAATTGTAACACAAGGTGTCAGTTTCGTGTTGATCCGTCAAACGGTTTAGAAGATATTGCTGAAAAACATGAGGGGGGCTCTGTAGAGCCACCCCCCCCCCCCAGTCATGCGCGGGTTAGGGACCTGCTTATTAAAGTGAGGTTCTGTAGGCTTTTTCGGAGTCCTGATTTCGAGTTTGATATTAGTTTTCATCAAAGACGATGTATTCATCCATTTGAGGTATGTTGGATCAGGTCAGGTCAGGTCAACCAGTCGGCGTCCCGCCGGCTATCCGTTGTAGGTGTATGTTAACTGACAGCTTCGTTAGATGTTACCAGCATAGGCACCAAAACTATGTACTCCTCAAATGTTCAAGTAAGTGCTTAATTCGAAATCGGCTCTAAAACTACCCTTAATCCTCGGCCATATAGGGGGGGGGGGTCGAACGGACTCCCTCGGTTTTTCGCGGATAACTCGTGTAAAAATGGCCCATCGCGACGAAACTTTCGGTACCCTCTTGTTAAGACCTACTTTTCGTGACCATGTTTGGCCGGAATCGCGACTCGGCGTATGTTGGCTCGCATTAGCCTCGCGCTTGCAGTCTTTTCGTGGTTTCAAGCGTTGAAACATGATATATGATGCTGCTCCCATGCATTAGGGTGGGTGTCCAGGTCACCTGAAGGTCAGGTCAGGTCATTGACCTATGATGACCTGGGCTCAATTTTTCGAGTTTTACATGCTCCCAGGCTAGTTTTTGGAGCTGAATTCAAATTAAACAACCATTTGAACATTTACGAATTAGTTTTGGTGCTTTCGTAACATGCTACGAAGCTGTCAGAGGCGGTTGACGCGTACTACGAATACCCGGCAGGACCCCTACTGGTTGACCTGACCTGACCTGACTCAACCTGGCCTAAGCCCTAAATCCATAAAAACATCACCTGTGCTCAAAACTTACATGATGTTCGTGATCAGCACCCCGAAAAAGCCATACCTAGCAGTCACACTTCACGATGTTCTAACAGGTCATAATTTTCCCGACTTTTGCGTCATTGACCTGGCCTGGAAGGTCAACCGATGCCCTAGGACCTTGAATTGGGCATCTTCGGCTTCCTCTCGTCACGGGTAACACGCTCGTTTTTCCGCGAAGCTCTAGCTCGATCAGGGGCGAAACGACAAGAGGGATCCAACGGACCCCCCCCCCCCATACGTTCAAGGCTGGCAAAACACCAATACGGGCTAGGGTTAAAGTCGTAAAGCTAAAAAGTCACCCGATGTCACCAAAGGTCAATGACCTTGACCAGACTTGGAACTGACCTTGACACCCACCAGAAACAAACATCTTTGGACATTTTAACACGTTACTAATCATAAGAAGCCTGGGAACGCAGGGATATGCCGTATGCGCCTACATGCGTCCAGGCGCGATTCCTGCCTCATAACAGGTCTTGGGAATTGGGTCACAGTTCAAATGTCATCGAAGTCAGGGTTTTGACATTTTCAGGGTATGTGTAAAATTGATTGATTGGAAGGTACGAAAAGCGTTCTCGCTATCGACCGCTTTTCGCATGAGTTATTCGCGACAAACTGGATTCAGCGTTCTGTGAATGTTTCGGTTTTAGCAATGATGCAGCAAGTACCTTACGAGCAAGCATCCTGTACAAAGTAACCATAATTTCACCGTTCAAGGTACAGGCATTTGTGTGGTAAGTCGCGTCACGTTTCTTGTTTTGTCTCCCGGTCGTGAGGAATAAAGTATTGATGATGCTGTTGAAACATTTTGTCGAAATGACATAATACTTTTCTCGTTAAAGCGTGTCGATAAAAAACCATTTTAAAGCTTTTATTGTGCTCCATATAGATAATATGTTATCTCTTGGTTACCCAATCGGCCATATACATTCTATTCCAGACCAACCTGGATATTACGTCCCCATCACAGATGTATAATTGTCATAAGAATTATCCAAGCTCTTCCAATATACAACTTACAAATAACACACTTGTGCATTGTGAAAACCAACTGGCAAGCGCGCACGTGTTACCGCAGTCTGTGACGTAGCAAAACACAAGCTGCAATGAAAATATTGCTCTGTGGGTAACTGTCCGGCCTCAGTGGTACCTTGCTTTTTATTTCAAGCACCCTGTGCCGGCATCATCACTTCATAGTGCAGATACAACCCATGTACTGGCGGTCCTGGAGCCGGATCTGTAGGGTCCCGTCTCAAACAGTCAGGCCTGGCGGGTCCAACCGTCTCAGTCGGTGAAACCCAGTGCCAGCTCTGTTGGTCTGTCCCTGCACCGGTGGCCTGGCCTGGTGGCGGTTCCTCACGCCTCACTGACTTAGCCTCAGGTCCGGCACAGACGCTGTTGGATTACCCCGCCTCAGGCGGCTTGTCTCGGTGCCCGTCCTGAAGGCTAGCCATCTCAAGCCGTCGAGTCCACCGTCCGTCATGTATGTATAGGAGGACGTCAATCTCAGCCGGCTAGGTTTGGCGCTGTCCTTGTGTGTCAGCTGTCTCAGGCGGCCTTCCCCTGCGCCGGGCCGGTCCGCTCAGTCCACTGACGGAGCACGTCCTGCTCCCAGTCGCTCTCGGCACGGCCGGCCGTGCTGACCACCAGCGGCGGCTGGCGGCAGGTAAACAGCTCGTCCAGCAGAAGCGGTCGCTCCGGCTGGCTCACCGTCCACTGGCAGGGCAGCAGGCCGACCAGGTCCGGCCGGCGCCGCCTCAGCTGGGTCAGCGGCCCGCCGGCGTCCGGCTGCAGACCAGAGTCCGTGTCCGGCAGCTCGGCGGCGGCCCCCAGCTGCGGCTCGGCCGCCAGCCGCGCCAGGTCGAGCAGCAGCAGTCGGCCGCTGACCCCGGGCGGCGGCAGCTCGGTGGCGCCCTCCAGGTGGGAGCGGCTCAGGTAGCGCGCCGTGTCCTCTGGCGCGCCGGCCGCCACGCGCTGCTCAGGGAACGCCTCCAGTTCTGTCAGCAGCGGGCCGAGGTCACCCACGGGCACAGTCTGCTCGTCAAGGAAGACGACTCGCCCGAGTGGCGCCAGCTGCCGGAGCACGGTCAGCAGCTGACGGCCGCGCTGCCGCTGGTCGGTCGCTGCGGCCAGCTGCTCGCCGCCACGCAGCAGGATGTAGCGCGGCCGGCAGCTGGGCGGGTGGTGGCGCTCCGCCACCAGCTCCTCCATCAGCTGGGCCAGCTCGAGGATGTGCTGCGCGGGCACCATCAGGTGCAGGCTGAGCGGCGAGCGGCAGTGCTGCAGCAGGCTGGTCAGCTGCTGCTGGTAGTGGCTGCGCGCCTGGCTGCTGGAGAAGGACGGCAGCAGCAGCAGCACCGGCAGCGCGCCCGGCTCCGGCGCCGCGCCGCCCGTCAGCGCCTCGTCCACTCGACCCTGAACCGGCCTCTGTGGGAGGAAAGGCAAAACGTCAGCGCGTCGTCCACTGGACCGGTCCTTCTGGGGAGGGCACGGCGCCAGTCTCTTCCACGGGTCTCTGTGGGAGGAAAAGCCCAACGTCAGTCTCGTCCACTCGAGGGGAGGAAGGGCACTTCGTCAGCGTCTCATCCACTCGATCGGCCCCTGTGGGGAGGTGGGGAGGTAAGGCCCACTGTCAGCCTCGTCCACCCGGCCCTGGACCGGCCGCTCTGGGGAGAAAGGTCAAGGCGTCAGCCTTGGCATTACCTCGGTCCGTAACAGAAAGGGGCGCGTAGTTGCCCTCATTCAGTCGCCCCTGTATCTGGACAATGTCTGCTGGCATTGGCACACGTGTTGGTGCTTGCTTTTGTCGATATTACTTAACCCACGAGCCGCTGGGGGGCATAAAGTTGCCCCCCCTTTGCGTTTGGTGAAATATCTCCGAAAGCTGATGAGCTACGAACGTGAAACTTGGCATAGCTTCAAATGAATACATAGGCAATGTTTGAGGAAAGTTTGGTGGTTGTAGCACCTAAGATGACGTCACAGTGACGTCATAAAGTTTTGTCGTTTTCCGATATGGACCATTTCTGATGACGCTGAGCATGAAACTCAACTGTAAATAAACTAGACAGCACCTGCTGTCATCCTAAAACATCTAACTACACTTCCATCTATTTCTGACCAATAATCGACCCTTTATATTCGGTCCCATATATCTGATGTATCGTGAGGAATATGAGAGTCGCAAATCTATAATGTCACTTATGACGTTACTGTGACGTCATTTCAAATGGGATCGACACCAAATTTAGACACAACCTCGGCTAGGTATTCAGGAAGATGTGTGCAAAGTTTCGCTTCTCTATCTCTTCGCGTTGCGACGATATCGTCGCAGAAGTAAAGGGGGGCAACTATATGCCCCCCCCCCCAGCGGCCGGCGGGTGGCGCGGAGGCCCAGGAAAATAACATAAAAAGTATTATAACATTAAGACCCTGTGACGTCCCCCCAAAAAAAACATTAGATATGTTCTGAAGCACCTTGAGAAGAATACACGCTACTCATCTCATCGAGTTGATCTAGGAATGTTCAAAAGAGCCTATGAAGACCAAATGGACGCACCTTTTGATAGTGTCTTACTTATATCACATCACTGCATTACATTACCTATGTTAATGGTGATTAGTTGTTACTTGTTAGAGTCGACTTAATTATTTTATAATTATTACATTTTAATTTTATAGTACCTTGAATATTTCAAAGCACATACACGACGCTTTTCTTCCTTCGAGGGCATTATGCCGCGGTTCAGCCGTCAGAGTATGAACTTACGTACCTCACTGTACTGTGTGAAGATGGCTGAAGCGAAGAAGCCGAGGGCGATGATGCAGCCGGTGACACCAACAGCCGTCCATACCCTGACCTCCAGCAGGCTGGCGCAGAAGCGACGCGCCACTCTGTAATGCATATGCAAAGCATTATCGTTCAATCAGGACTCACACGGAGCACACATTCTTTAAACCTTTATCGATTGAAATAATGGAGGCATTACATGAGTTGAACGACCGGGGGGAAGGAGTGGGGTTGCGAGGGGGAGCGCTGCTTGGGTGACATGCAAAGGAACAAAGATTAATGTGAGGCGAATGCTCAATCGCTCGCAAATATCTGTGCACGTACGACAAGAATGTATTTGCGATCGACTTTCGCTGCACTGCAGTGTCCTCCCATTTTATTGCTGGCGTATATGTTGCATTTGATTATACTCCATGCTGATTAGATCAGTGTTTTACTTATGAAGTGTCACCTCACGAAAACAAAGAGCTGATGCATGTGAAGACGACTATGGATGCAATATCGTTTCACCCCTCGTAGGCAGAGGTGGAGAATCGCCTTATAATCGCAGGGGGTGATTTTTTAGCACCTGGCGAGTGACAGTGTCAAATTCTTGAGTAATAAAGCACACATACACCGTACAGAGTATCCCAGAATTGAACATTGTTTTGTTAACGAACATTGTTTATCAGCGTATAAGATGAGGTAAAAATAATTGCATATTTTTCTATTGTCCGATATATATATCAGCTAGGCCAGCAAGGGAATGACGAAATGAAATGGCACATGCAACGGACGCGTTGTTTGCAAGATTAGCCGGCAGTTGCGAATAAATGCAAGCCCATGCTGGTTTTCGTTGTTTTATGGGTCTCCCGAAACTAGTTGTAGGCCGATTTTCATTGACCTCTTGCAAGAGGATACCATATAAATTTTCGATTAAATTTGTACCCAAACTGTTTCCAGGCCATAAGGCATTTTCTCCCCCCCCCCCAAAAAAAGAAAAGAATGTGCCTAAAAAACACAGTTGCGTTTTTTACATCGGAAGTGGAGAAGCTTTATGTCTGAAAATGGCGTGCCCTTTGGCTTACCGCAGATTTGGTTTTCAAAACAAACCTGTTCATGGCCAATGGCCATTCCTTTGACGGCAACCAGTTTTTGTAATGAATATAATGGCAGTGGCTACTCTCAGTTTACAGTCGTTTTTGGAGCATCACCACCTGAAGCTGAATGAGTGCATCGTGGCTCAAAATGTTTCACGCTTTAATTTTCGACGGATGCCTGGCCGTCTCCGCTGTTGTAGTGTTGTCGCCATCTGACGTCCACACAATACTTTTTTGTGGTGCAAAGGGCGGCACAATACCTCAAATGGATTTTCGTAAGACTAACTACAAAATGTATTTCAGTTCACTTTTTTGTTGAATATAATACTCCTTTTGGCTAATTTGCAACGATTTGCGTTGTTCTTTCGTTAGTTTTGGCTCCTGCTTTTCATTCCAGAAGCCCGGTAACTTCCAAAATTTTGTCGACATAGGGGTGAAAGGTAGACTGATGTTTTGTAGCTAGCCCTGATCAGTCGTTAACCCGGCCGGGCCCGGGGGGTAATCCCAACCACCCGGGATACCAAACGAAAGGTCCTTACGAGACGATTCTAAAGCACCTAAAATTTTTGACCTCAGGTCAATTTTCAAGGTCAGAGGTCAAGGTCAAAGGCAAAAACCGGCACATGTGTAGTGATCTCAAAGTAAGCCTCCTAGAGGACGGCAGGCTGCATCAAACCGGCAAAATTGGGTGTCAAACGAAAGAAGAGAATCTGAGGATTCCGAAACTGTGCTCAAAATCAAAGGTCATGGTCAAGGTCACGCTCAAAATTGACCTCAAACTTGGCACTTTTTCGCACATCTTGCGTGCTAACTTCCAAGATGTTTTGAAATGTTTTGAGGCTTATCAGTTCCCTATTTGTGGTTCATCTTACAATACAAGGCTGCTCAAAGGTCACGGTTACAGAAGAGTATCCCTGCTAGAGGCTATTTCACTAATTCAAGTTAGTTATAATAAATAAGACAATTTTGCCATCCGGAAGCTCTAAATGAAGGCTGAGAGGAAAATAGATGCCAGATTCGTGATCAGCGGATACAAATCCATCATAAACGACCTTTCATGTGTCAAGGTCAACCAGAGGTCATTCGAGGTCACATGAGGTCAACATAAAATTTGACCTTTTCCGAACAAAATATATATCATTCGACGCGGCTTGACAAGGCGAATGCGATGGTACCACTGCCGTAGCTCTAGGACCATTTTTGTCGAAGTTATTTGCGAAAAACTAAAACCACATTTCGGGGTCGTTGACCTGACCTCTGACCTCAGGTCACCAAAACTATTTTTCTATTTTTCTCTAGGTCAAACGCTACACAACCGTGCTCGTAATTTGTCTTTATCTCTAAAACTCTATTTTTAGCAGCTATTTGAAGTTTGCGTCTGTGACGCCGAAGTTTGCCGTGCAGGGGTCTAGAAAAATGGACCTTGTGACGTCATCAAGGGGGCTAGGTCCAAATTTTTTACTTCAGAAGATGTCAAATTGATGGGAGAAAAGGTACTGAAAGTTTCGCTTTCCTATCCCCAAGCGTTCGGGAGCTATCACAAATATTCGCCAGGGGGGCGAAAAACGCCCCCCCCCGGGCCCGCGAGGGTTAACCCGCGGCCCGTAGGGCTATCGGCGGACCCTACCACCCGTGGGGGGGGCGTTTCGGCCCCCCTAAGATCCCGGAAATTTACCGGCCGATTTTCAAAATTCAAACGGCGCTCGATAGCCCCACCGGGAAACTACCTTGTGACCAAATTTCATTGACCTAGGTCAAACCGATGACGTCACAGACCATACAAACAACGGCCAGATTAACCCATATTCCGGGCGGGCTCTGAAAGGTTCGATTCTGGGCGGGGAGGGGGCCTTTTCGGCCCCCCTTCAGATCTCAAAAACTACACATCGGAACGACGAACGGCAAACGGTTTGATAGGTCGTTTAAAGATCTACAACTTTTACATAAAACATTTTCGATTCAGGTCAATATTGAGGTCACCAGAGGTCATCAACGATAAAATGTTATGGAATTAGTTACTTATATAACTTTTAAACTAAGAAACATAGAGACATAAAACTATTACATTTTTTTTTGTTGCTCTCGTCGAGGCGATGCGAAATAAGTATGAGCCATGACCCTCACAGGTCAATTTGAAATTTGACCCAAGGTCAAGGTCCGGGTCATTCACCAATGAGGTTGTGGAATATGGTCATGCTGCATACCAAACGACGCGCCTTGACCATGGGCGAGCAGTTCGGTACCACTTACAAGTCTTAAGCACCATCATGCCGTGATTTATTGACAAAAAAAAATGATTTATGACGTCACATGACCTCATATGACCTTTCCCGGTGCCCCTGTCAATAAGCGGCACCAGGATCATCACCGATGAGATAATCTTCCATAATACTGAAAGAATTGGGTGGTTTTGACTCGTTTACACGAAGCAGGAGGCATTTCAATATTTTCCCATAGGCTTGCAGTGTACAGGGTGTCTCAAAAGTTCGTTCACAGGTACCAGCCATGCTTTTTTTGTCAATAATTCTGAATCAACAAGAAATTAACAGTCGAAATTTTGCATGGGCATTGGTGACAACCTTCCTCAAGCAGTCTTATTGTTTTCAAGTGCATTCGACCCTTCATGAGCTCACAAAAAGGGTTCACCTCTGACCATGGGTCAGGCACGAAAATGTAGGTTGCAAAGTCGGGTATGTTGTGAAACTCTCTGTTTCAGGAGTAATGGGAATGGTTAAGTCGGAAATGACACATGTCTAAGTGTCGGCGAGGATGAGTGCAACATGATGGTCATCTCATAAAAGACGGTGGCTAAAATTTTTGAAGGACGAAACCATGCGAGACTAACGGCGTTTTGAACGACCCTCGCACGACAGCAGACTCGTGTTCCGGAAAGCAGCTGAAAATGCGGTCATAACTATTGAAAACTGGCAAGAAGGTCACAGACAGAGGTTGTCCATTTTCAAAAAGTGCAGGTCATCGTAAAATAAAGACAAATTATAATTTAAAATTGTTTATAATATCTATAACGCTAATTTTTGGGGACAATAACAGAAAAATCGTCAATGCCAAGGACACCTGACACTCCAAAAGTGTCAGTTATTGTAAAATTTTATGTAACGAAGTTTCAAGAGGCAGATCTGCAGCGAATAATTTTCTTTTAAACACAAAATCCCGATAAAACCACACGATGGACAGGTTTGGGCCGTTTACAAAGCAGAACATCTCCCGAGGAAAACACTCCGCAACCGAGCGAAGGTCTTGGCATGGGGAATGACGAGCGCTTGGAATTTGCAAAATTTGCACAATGTGTCTGAGAAACAGACGTCCGACACATTCTGCTACCATATGATGCGAAAAATTTACTCCTGGTACTTCCCGTTTGTTCAGGACCGGGGTCGTTTTGAAAAGGAAAATGGCGCTTGGGATGTCGGCGCCAGTCATTCATGAAGGAGTTAGCGCCAGAGAATGCCTACAAAATACTCAAGAATGGTGTCGATGCAAGCTGTCGGCTTTCAGTGGAAATCAGATGTTGCCGGGGAGCTAGTCAAAACTAAATCCGACGCAGAAACTGCAGGGGATTCCCTTGCAAGAGCTTGAAAGCTGGTAACCTTTTATCAGCCTCCGGCAGCTGACGGAGCAACAAAAATCGGTATGGGCAAATATTTTTGGAGATACAGCAAAGGGGTTGGTTTCCAACCTTCTTAATCAGTTGTCAAAGCATGCATATTTGTCTAGTGTACACACAGACACCAAAACCTTATACTTTTGGCCGGTTCTTATATGCTTTATTGGCATGGGAAATGTGTGAACGAACTTTTGAGACACCCTGTAAAGGTCACGAGTCTGGCCTGGCCTCAGGTCACAGATATGAAAATTATGAGATATACAAATCGCACATACTGGTACCCTAACTAAAACCTGAAGAGAAGAAATTGATCAGTCAAAAACTCTAGCTCTGGCGTGATTGCAAACTTTTCTGAGGTGGGGTCAACAAACAGTTTCTGGTGACCTGACCTGACCTGACCCGGCAACTTTTTTTGTCAAAATGCGCGCAATGAATGGTTAGGAAAAGTCACCGAGTTTGAGATTTCAGTCTTGCAGCGTTTGGCAATGGCACAAGAAAAGTCTGAAGGGGGGGGCCTTAAAGGCCCCCCGCGGGTTAAAGCTGGTTTATATTTATTGCACCAGGTGGCAGTACTTCTTTTCCAAAATCAGTGCTTGTATTTCCAAAGTCGTGATTTCCTCGCTGAGGAGTGAAATCGGCTTCATCGTTGCCAAAAAGTAGCTGATAGCGTTGTCATTTTTGGCACATGGTTGCCAAAAATAAAATGACGATTGACCAAACCTCCCCCGACTGATATATGAATAATGATCGATGATTAAAGCCAACCTCACGCAATGTTAAGATGCAGAAATGAATTATGATCGACAGTCCCAGCGCAAATGTCACACCTTGCATAGGTACGGACGGACATTAATTACGATCACGTGGGATTAATCATGACTATTTTCCCGTTATAGGTATGTAGCATCTATAATGTCCGACACGGACAACAAATATCGTTGCGTTCCGAATGATGCTTTGGCGAAAAAAATAGCCTAACATACGGTCAACTGACTCTGCGTCAACCCATGTAAACGCCTCGTGCCGAAGGCGTTTGCCTTCTAGGTATGTGAATTATGATGCCGCACTTACCTGCCGAACCGAGACGGCGCGGTGGACGAACGCTTCTCCATCCTGAACTCTGGGTGACTTTTGCACGACACCTGTCAGCTGCGCTGCCCCGTGCACCGGGTGACAGTGTGCACCTTGCACTGGGCTGCACTGTGCAGTGTGCACTGTCAGCCGGGCCGGCCCGCTGCCGGCGACCCTCAACCGCGCCGCTCCCTCGCCGGTGACGCGCCACGATCGCGGCACGGCTGCACCGCTCACTGCCCGCCGCGGCGGCCGCCGCGCCGCGCCTGAGCCCGCGCCGCACAGACAGCCGCGGGCGGCCGGCCGGCTGCACCGTTATGGCACGGTCACGGGCGATGAGCCCAGAGTCACACGACGGTCACTCTGCAGTCACACAGTCTGAGGAGACTCTGGTCCAGACAGTGCCGCACTATGAGCAGGGGACCGATATCACCAGACTCTGGTCTGCATAATGCCTAGTGCCGAGCAGTGGAAGTTCTGGTTTGTACTGGGTGCTGCTCTGTTCTGCACAGTACATCGGCCTCTGGTACATCTCCTCTCTCTCTCTCTTCTCTCTCTCTCTCTCTCTCTCTCTCTCTCTCTCTCTCTCTCTCTCTCTCTCTCTCTCTCTCTCTCTCTCTCTCTCTCTCTCTCTCTCTCTCTCTCTCTCTCTCTCTCTGTCTCTCTCTCTCCCTCCCTCTCTTTCTCTCTCTCCCTCCCTCTCTTTCTCTTTCTCTCTTTCTCTCTCGCTCTCGCTCTCTCTCTCTCTCTCTCTCTCTCTCTCTCTCTCTCTCTCTCTCTCTCTCTCTCTCTCTCTCTCTCTCTCTCTCTCTCTCTCTCTCTCTCTCTCTCTCTCCCTCCCTCTCTTTCTCTCTCCCTCCCTCTCTTTCTCTCTCTGTCTGTCTCTCTCTCTCATTCTCCCTCTCTTTCTCCCTCTCTTTCTCTCTCTCTCTCTCTCTCTCTCTCTCTCTCTCTCTCTCTCTCTCTCTCTCTCTCTCTCTCTCTCTCTCTCTCTCTCTCTCTCTCTCTCTCTCTCTCTCTCTCTCCAACCGGTCTTTGAGGTATTGGTCAGGGAATCGTGAGATGAATCGCAAATATCTACGGATGCAAAATGCATGATGTGCACTTAGTAGCTGCAGCCTCATGCTGTGACAACCATCTACATACATAGACTGCTTATGTAGATCTCCATGTCGACATGAGTCGAAGTTTTCGTTTTCATGCAGCATAGCTTCGCATCGTGGTTATCTCAGCTTAACCCTCGCCCTGGCAGGGGGGGGGGTCGATGCGACCCCCCCCTAAGGTTTTTCAAAGATAGCGTGAAAACGGCGGCGCGCAGCGCCGCCAAATTTGGCACAGCCTATGGGGCAACCTTTTTACATATGACCTGAAAATTTCAGGTCCGGGTGACCTTGGGTCAGGTCACCAGGTCAGAAAAACCGGTACAAGGTCATGGTCAAATTTCAATTTTCTTTTTGCACCTGTCCAACTCACAGTTTTGGACTGATTTCCTTCAAACTTTCAGGATGTGCTAAGTTCACCGAGTTGTATAACATATAGTTCGGGTTTTTTGAGGTCACTGACCTGAGGTCAGTTAGAGGTCATTACGTCGTAATGTTAAGCCTATGGGAAAATGCTAAATTCGGAAAATACTGGAGATATCCGCTTCGTTCTATCACTTTTGTGCTTTGAAACCACAGTACTTAACAGCAGGTCACTTGGTGCTTCTTTGTTTGGTGTACTTATCCATGGGTCAGGTCAAATGAGGTCAACTGAGGTCAAATAACGTTTTTGCCAATAACTTGACACATAATGACGCTAGAGCTTAAAAAATGGTATCATTGTGTTCCTGGTGATCAGCCGAATCGAATGATATGCGATATGATGCAATTTGGTTAACTTGAACTTAATTTATTAATTTAAGTTTACTTAAAATTTAAGAAAAACTTTAAGTACACTTAAGCAAGGTAAAAAGTATATCATTCGACGCGCCTGGACGTGCTGAGTTCACTGGTGCTTTTCTTTTTGCTCTATCTTAATTAGATCAAAAGTTATAAGCGAAAAACTTTTGACCTGTTTTTAGCGAAATTTTTACATTTATACCCCCCAAAACCCCCCTAAATATAGACCTAGAGCAACCAAATTTGCACAAGGGCGAGAACTCCAGGGGGCCCACCTACCTACCAAATTTGGTGTTTCTAGGTGCCATAGGAGCCAATCGCGAGGGGGGGGTCGCATCGACCCCCCCCCCCCTGCCAGGCCGTGTTATGAAAAATGCCCTGCCAGGGCGAGGGTTAAATCTAACTAAGGCGAAAACGCATATTAGCGTACTGCCTATCATACAAACATCATAATTATATAGTGACTATAATCCGACAAAAAAAAACAGCTTTGGGTTATTGTTTATCGGGATTCATTTAATCTTAGTGATATCTTTTTTCAAGCAAGTTGCGAAAAACCGCACATTGTGAAGATTTTATGGGAATTTAATCAGTACGTTTCCTTTATTTTTACTGTTATAGCCCATTGACTGGTGACCTTATATACTGGTTCCGAATTCGTCCAGAAAAAAAAAAAAATCGAAAAACATGTTTGACCCCGAAACGTCTTGAAGCTTTGGGATGAAGTGAAAATATCGATATTTCACTGCCTAATCGAAAGCTGCGTTTTGGTAAGGCAGGCTGAGAAGTTTATATGAACGGGCAATGTAATCTGTTTGCGTTACAACGCCACTAAAACCAGTAATATAACTCGATTGGTTTGGCTCAACTGGCCTGACTGAAAACAAAATGACACAAAAAACGACTAAAAACGCACAGGCAGAGCGTGTTAACTAGGTTTTCTTGTGTACCGTACATCATGCATTTTTTGACCCGTCCCAGACGTGTCAATTTACAAATGTGTTAACCCAGTCGTGTTGTGTCCTAAAACCCAATATCATTGTGTCTTCAACACATAAAGCTTGTGTGAATACATTTGCAGAATACAAGGTAAATGTGTTACTAAATTTAACACAAATCGCAAGTGAAAGAAGGAAACACGTGGTGATTATGTAGTTTGTTGCCGGGGCGCAGTTGAAGGGACTTTGGCTTTGGCTGGACAGGCTTATTGCTAAAGTCGGGCCCGAGTGGAATCGGCCGCATGGGTGCGGTCAGGGCTGAGCACCCGGCCGGCCGACCCATACGGTCAGGGCGCGGTCAGAGCTGAGCACGCGGCCGGCCGACCCATACACGAGCTGGAGTTGCGCCCGGTCGGCAACTTCAGAGACGAAGGGTGAACGCGTCACGTGGATGGCTAAATTAGAGCACCAAGTGAGGATGCCCCAAATTAGCGGACTATTGCACAATACAGTTGTCCAGACAGCCGGGATAAGTTTACAGCCTTTTTCATTTCATTTATTTGGTTTAAGGGCATTTCGGTCAACATTGACCATTTCATGCCCAGTTAATGTTACCGTAAGGTGGGGCTATTTGAGACAGTGGGGCTATTTGAGACAGTATTTAAAATTGCTATAAAATAAAAACCACTCAAGATTCATGCTTAATTTTTTGCTCAGGCGATTTACTGCTCGATTCCACACCTCCCTGTGCAAAAATATCACACAAAAATCAAACGATCTTCATTTTATAGCGATTTTAAATACTGTCTCAAATAGCCCCACTGTCTCAAATAGCCCCACTTTACGGTATCTTGTCATGTCGTCACAGTGTAAAATTTTTACTTCACCGTTACCTGTGCAGATGAAAAAAAGTTTTGTTTTTTACCAGTCAGTGATGAAAAAAATTGACTGATCTTAACATGCAATGATGATTTTTACACTAACGGGTGCTATGATGAAAAGAATGACAACGTGTTTTAGATGAAACATTGTTTTAGATGGGCACACGTTGAAAATATAAGCAAATGGGCTAAAATTTCATCGTATCAGTATGGACCTATGGTCATTATTCACAAGTTATGGGCAACAATCAGCACCATCTTCTCTGATCAGAGAGGATAGTGCTGGAGTTGAAGGTGAAAAACTTCTTCACAATGTAAAATTAAAATAATTCTGAAAATAAAAATACCTACCAGGTTTCAGAGAGCTACCCAGCGACGCATTATCATTACGTTGCTTATATATATCCTGATCATTACCCTCTCTGAAAACGGAAGGCACGCGACGCGTTGTTTGCGCCGTAGTTTGTCACGCTGGCGCCAGCAAATGCGGCTACTAAATAATTGCGTTGCATTAAACCGAACCCGGCCCCCGACACCGTAAGAGGTGCAATTTCCCTCGAGACATTACCCAGCCTGCATGGCATCAAATCGGAAGAAACTTGCACCACACAGTTCAAAAATAACCGAGGCTGTCACATATGTATAGTATTTGCCATATCTTTCATCAAATCATGAGATAGCTTGCGTCCATGTTGCAGCCTGGACACCAGTCCGAGGATGAAATTTTTGTTCATTTTCGAAAGGCAATATTTTTATATCAACAGCAATCTAAGAGTTTGTATGCATCTTATAACGAAGTCCAGTGTCTTATCTTCTAAAAAATGCATTACAGTCATAAAAATATTGACTAGACTCCCTACAAGCATTATCGACTGGTGACTAAAAATCGAAGAATTTTTCATCCTCGGACACTCTGTAAGAAAACAGCTATAATTTCCCTAATATTCAATATTTTTCGATTATATCTTCAGCAAACATGGAGAACGATCCATTTAACATGCTAATCCAAACAGCAGATGATTTGGAAACTTCATGAAGGCGTGAGAGATCCCCGCGGTTACCTGGAAAATTTCATCCTCAGCCTGGCCTTTTTAATGCTTTTTCATCCTAATTTCATCATTCAGTTGTAGAACTAGTTTAATCCAATTCTTCAGGGAATGTTTATACAAAAGCAATAAATAAATTTATTTTTAATTTTTAGACATTATTTGATTGATAATATTGTATTTTCGATTGTATTTATCTGCACTTACCTACACCTTTTTATTGTTCTGTTTCTTTTTTTAATCGAGGCAATCACGAAGCGCATGATACATACACTGTGCTGAGATATTTCCATGTGTCATTACTATCATTGCTGATTGGAAAGGAAGGTGCGTATGATTTATCATGTATATTTTTTGTGGTTTTCATGATAGGTGCAGTTTTTAACCTTCTAACATTATTTTGGGACAGTTTAACCGATTTGAATAAGGATTTGGTGCATTTGTGTTGAAAGATGAAAATTATGAGCCAGGATGAAAAATTAGCAGATTTCATTAACTGTGATTTTCCAGGCTAATACTGGAAAAATTT